GAGGAATGGCTCTCAGTTAAGGATCAATTAGAAACAAATAATGTCAAGTCACTGAAAGCTGTTGAAACACAATAGGCACGTATATAAGGAATAATAACTGGCTTAAATGGGTAATGACAAAACTTTATCATGTCATTTAGTCTCTTTTGGCCAGTGACTTAAGTTAGAAACTTACAAGTTTTAGGAACCATACACTTTACCACTGTGACAGAAAAGGATAAGCTGTAATCTCTTCCAGTACTTTAGATCTATACATGTAAATAGTTGAATATACATCCACGTAAATCAATATAACAAGTACTTACTTCTATGTATAAAATTTACAGCTGGTATGGAGAGTAAGCTTAAAAGTATGCCAAACATTTCAGTAATAACTGTTTTACTACAAGCTCCTCATAGCTCTATGTGCATTTCCTTGGAAGTTACTCAGGAACCCCCTGAGAAATAATGGCTCAACCTAGACATATAGTTATTTGTGTGTGGCAGTTAGAGCAACTCTGCTTCCAAGTTAAAATCCTGTGGTACAAGCAGCACGTCCTTAAAACTCACCCTCCCTCTCTTTCTCAGGGGAGCACTGAAAACTTTAATAATATTAGTTTCACAGAGAGTAGAAAGTCACTTTATGTGGATTTGCAGATTAACATTTACTACTTTACTTCCCCCGCCCACCACCCAACATCTTTCCTTTAAAAGATCTCCATTGATTATCCTGACACCTGCTGGCAAGGGCATAGTCGATGATCCTAGTCTACTTTTCCCTTCAACAATTCCCCCAAAGCAAAGACTGTTTAGAGGTATTTTCAGTAACAATTAAGTGGTAATTCATTCAGTGTAAGTATTTATAGTACTTCATTTTTAGCATTATCACACAACCATGAGAAAATTTTCAATAATCCATTTCACGTAGCCAACAACTTAAGTCTTATATATAACTACATGTTTGCTTTGATTAACCAAAAGATATTGTAATCATTATATGGGCTGTGATTTAAAAAACAAAAACAAAAACATGCTAGACATCTTCCTTAAAAGACAGGTAAGAATTAAGTAATAGGAATGGCTTGGCTTTGGTTTTCTACTATTTTTTTTTTCATCATAATAACATCAGTTTGCAAACTACTTAGGAAATAAACTCAAACTCATATAAACTCATAGGAGTAAACTGATTAGCCTGAGAGAAGCCATACCATTAATTACATATTTGCAAAATTTGCTGTTTGTTTCTCAGTACCCAAGTGTTCTGATTTACTCTGATTTGAACTGAGTTCTGAAACCCACACTGTTTTTCGTGGGTTTATTTGGCAAGGAATATAATGAACCTACTACATCATAAATGATACTCAAATCTATTGGTGCCTGCAAGTATGTTCAGTAAACAACAAATATCAGAATTACTTTCTTAGGCTTTAGGAAACTCTCAGATCAGGCGGGTTTTCAAAACTGTACACAAATGATAACATATACAGGCCATCCCATTATTCAAAACCCTTCAAAAGATGAAAAGTTTTAAAAATAAATTACCTAATTAAAATTTTTATCTTAATATCAGTGAAATTAAGAGTGTGGACTACTAATTTAGAGTCTAAAAACTGTCAAACTTATACTTTGTAATGGTTTTGAGCAACCAAGCTTTTTTAGTCTAGTCATGTATATGGTATCCTCATTTTGTGAGAAGGAAAAATCATATGTATCTAACAAGAAAGGAAAATTTTATGAAAATATTTATTAAAAATACCCTACACCCTGAATACATGTTTTATATAAACACTGATCTTAAGATATTTGAGAAAAATACAAGAGAGTTTTAATTTAGAGAAGAGTTCAGAAGTAAAATACATTTGCCTGGTTTTGAAGATCTCTGTAAATTCAAGACTGCAGAGGGGATAACAGACCATTTCAATTTTTGTAACCCTTAATTTGTATTATTATAAATGTTTTCCCCAAACAATATAAATTTAAAACAAAAATACATTTCAATTCTAAGAAAATATTTCAAAAATAATTAGAAAAAACTTTTTTAGGACCAGAGGGGAAAAAATGTGTTTTGTATCATAACAGTGGTCAGGGCTTTCTTTGCATTAGTGTCAAACTGTACCAGCAGGATATTTTATCTTCAATTACTTATTATTTTTAATTCAGTATTTCCAAATTATTTTTTTAATGTTTCACCTGGAATCTGCAGCTGGCATTGATTTTTAAAGTATAAAATTAATGATCATGTAAATCAAGTAATGAAGACACTAATGTGTAATAATTTTTTTAAAGTACGGCAACCTGTTATTTCAGCATCAATACTGCTATACTAATCATAGAAGCATGGGTGTTTTTACCTCGAGTGAGACTGTTCAGGTACTAACTGATCCCCATGTAGAATTAACTAAAAATCGCCATTGATTAAAAAAGGAAATGTGAATGCCAATGATTCATAGTATTTAGGACATGTCTAGACATTTTTAAACAGTGCCATTTGCTTAAAAGACTTCAGACACAAACTGCAAGCACAGGGACAGATTGCATAAGATGTCACGTGCTTGCTGCAACTGTATGCATGTAATTGGATTTTTTAGAGCAACCCATAACAATGAATAATTTAAGAGTTAATGAAATATTCAATCTGACTGATCCACTGGTTTAATTTTAAAATAAAAACGACTAAGAAAAGGAATTACATGTCCTTATCAAATCCCAGTCATTAATATGCGTAAATTGCAACCCACACGGGGAAACACCAATTTATAAAACGTATACATTAGACAAATGATATCTGGGGAGGTGGGGTGGGAGAGGTGCAAGGTAAATTCTCATCGTTAACACTGGCCTCAGTAAGTTTGCTCAAAGTTTAATTGTTTGGAGATGTCACGCAAGCTGTACTCTGCCTTTCTGCAGAGCTGAGGGAGAATAAATTAGAAAGGTGCAAGTTTAACAAAAAGAGCTCGTGGAAAATGGTCCATTTCTTTCCTATCCCTCTCCTCACAGGCCGTCTGGACAAAAAGAGAAATCTACGGAAGAATGTGGAGTACACACTGCCCAGCATTGTCTAGGAGACGGAAAGAGAGCCCAGGCAACACACCAAGAGTAAGCTGTGTCCTGGGCGTGTATATCTTTGGACAGCAGAGCTTCCGGCTGCAGCGAGACGGGACTCACCGCGCCCCAGGGCTCCAGCAACCAGACCTAGGGAGGCTAGCGCGGCACACAGGTTAGATATACTTTCTCCTCCTCCACCTGCGCCGCCCTCCGCCTAGGTGCCAGGACTGATGATGGAGGCGATGGTGTCAAGGAGTAGGTGCCTGTGAGTGGGTGAGTGTGTGTTTTCGGTTTGGGGTGGGAACGGAGGCGGGGAAAGGAGGAGGGGAGGGGAATGCCTGCCGTTCTCCCCCTCCTTTCCTGCTGAGGGATCAAAGTGCAGAAGGAATCCAGACGGGAAATGAAAGAAAGGAGAAATATCGGTAGTGGAAGCACTGTCTTTTTCGTATAGCTGGGGCAGTCCGCAGTGCAACTACAGAGCCATTACCGTTCCTTAACCTTCAGTGGAGTGGCTGGCTGCCTGTCTGATAACTGGAAGGGCACATAGTAAACGCGGGCGAGGCACACACCTACTCGCAGGGGGAAATAGCCACATTCTGGGGGGGGGGGGGGAGGGAGGCCGAGGAAAGGTGCGGCCTGGATAGCTACTGATAGGGCACCGAGGGCATCTGGCCAGGAACACCCGGCTTCTTAGGCAAATAGTAGCCCAAGAGTTCACAATTTTCCTGTGAAACAAATAGACGGATGGGTGCGTGGATGAATGGTGTAGAATATTCATTCAGCGTCTAATCTCAAATGGATTTGAGTCAATGCATTTTTTAATCCAGCCACATTTTTTAAGAGGCACAGCATTTTAAACCCTGTAGTGCACTCAGCTCTCCACTTGAAGCAGCCTGCGGAGGGTTTCATTACCTATTGAACGCATAGAAGGAGCCGCCTGTATATGTGGGCGCAGAAGGGGCTCGGGTCCGCCTCGAGCAACCTACCCAGAGTCCCTGCAGCTCCCCCTGCCCTTTCCAGGCGCCAACTTCAACGCCAACGCGAGCTTAGATGGAACCAAGACCAAGGCTTGTATTGACAGGCCATCCTTCCCAGGGACCTGGAAGCCAACTATGCAACTCAGCAGGAGACTCTTCAAAGTCCTGTGTTTTTGGGTTGTTTTTTTTTTTTTAACAGACTGGTTTATTTCATGCAATTCATGAAAACCACCGCCAGACCACCTCTTACAACTTTTCCGCTCTTGGGCGGGGGCGCCAGGGTTGTCTCGCAACGCAAGATTCCCTATTACCAAGAGTTAGGCTCCTACCAGGAGGGTATGCTGAGCAAAGCTTGAGGCCCTTTGGGCTACAGGAAGGGCGGGTTCCTGGGGTTTTTCTGCTACTGGTGCTGCGCCTCCAGGATGGGGAGATGGGAGAAAGCCAAACTGACTTATCAGACCCGTCTCCACTGCACCCACCGCACCCACCTCCCAAACTCCCAGCACCGGGTTCGGATTTGCAAACTGCTTGGCGTGGGCTGGGCACCAGAGCACAGCACCCTGGAGGCGGACAGCCCTAAGGCACTCTTCCCCTTTCCACTCCTCCACTCCCGGGGCACGCTCGCTTCCCTCGCTCCCCAGCGAAAGCCCCGTCTGGAGCCGGGAGCCGGCATCACCCACACTGCCCAGGGAGGGTTCGCGTGGCTACCCGGGGGCCAAGTAAGCCGTGGAAGATCTGTTTTCCCTCCCGCCTCCCCTGCATCCCCGTCCTTCTTCGATCTCATCTAGGTACCCCGCACCCTATTCCCGGCTCAGCCCCGCATACTCCTCTCTGACTTTGCGAGCACTTTTCCTGGGCACGCAGGGCAGGGCGCAGCCTCCTCGGTGCCGCCCACGGCGCTCGCCACCCCGGGAGCGCCCGGGGGACCTCCTCCAGCCCCCTGCGCAGCGTTTCCCAGGGGACTCTCTGCCTGTCCCGCAACCGGGGCCGTCGCCTCACCTTTGCAGAACTGAGGGACACCAAGGCTGAGCCCAACCAGGAGCCAAGCAGCCACCGAGCGCTTCATGATCCGTCTCTCGGACGTGACCCCGCTGGTCAGGGGTCCTAGTGGAGGGTAGTGTCGCTGAGGCTGCACCGCAGGGCAGCGGCAGACCCCGCCCCGACAGAGGATTCAAGAAGATGTCTTTTTCCTGCAGCGTCTCCTTAAACAAATTCTTGGAGAGAGCAAGAAAGAGTGGCGACCAAAGAGAGGAATCTTTCTTCCCCTTTTGCCTGCGCTCCGGGGCGCTGGGAGGTGGGCGAGCTCCGGGGAGTCGCCAGCGGGCTCAGCCTCCTCTGCGGGTGGGTCCCAGACGAGGCGCGGTGGGCGGGGCCGGGCGCGGGCGGCGGCTCGGGGTCACCCGCGCTGGCGGACCCGCAGACTGTGTGCTCTGCTCGCGCCGCCGCGGCCGGCTGCGGGGCTTCTGACTTAAGAGAACAATGAAGCGTGAGCAGGCGGGGAGCGAGGGAGCGAGCCGAGAGCGCACTGTGTACAAACAGAGGCGGCGTGCGTGTGAGCTTGAGCCTCGCAGGCTCCCGCCCGCCCCGCGCGCCCCTCCTTCCTATTCCCTCCAGCAGCCTCCCCCTTTTTCTCCCCCCACCCCACTACCCCCCAGAGGTGGCTCCTTCTGCTGGAAGAGAAAAGGGAGACAACTGCAGCCACACCCTGGCACCTGCCACCACCTCTGAAGTTCCTACAGTGCCTATACCTTCTGCACACACGCCAGAGACTCCGGGGTTAAGGGAAGCAACACTTGGTGTGTGAGATTTTCTTGGTTTCCAGCACTGACTTTATAATTAACCACGTTAAGGAATCCCCTGAAGTCCCGTTCTCTGCATAGCCAGAAAAAGAAGTTAAGAGATTTTGAAAAGTGGCTCTTGGGGCACAAAGCTGCCCGAGAGACAGAACGCTGCAAAGTGAATTGTCCCGGATTCCAGGAAATGCAACCTGGTCAGCAGCCAGCCTCTAATCAGCTAAGACAGGGCTGCTCTGCTGCTGTTCTGGCTGCACTTTGGTTGGCTCTAGGGCTGGGGAGAGAGCCCTGTGGGCTCCTCTGGCCACCGGGGCAAAAAGGTGAAGGCACAGGGAAAGCCAGTGGGAGGCATACATCTCCTCAAGGAGGACATCTGTTTCAGATGAGAAGTAGCGGGGCGAGTTTGGGGACCATGCAAGAAAATAAAAGGCAAAGACAGATTCTTGAAGCATCACCATGGTAGATCAAATTTCGCTGCTACCCACCAAAAGCAATATAAATTGACTGGCTTTTGCAGTCAAAGTGGCTGAACCAAACTACAGCCCATGGCTTACAATAGTGTTTTCTCCTCTGTTTTCCATTTAAAATATTTGCTTAGGGTACGTGGATTCAGCTCTGGCAGTTGCAGGTACCAAAATGAAAAACAGCCTTTTTTTTTTTTCCTTCTAGAGAGGGAGGTAGGAGAGAGACAGAAACACCAACAAAGAAACATTGAAGGAAACATTCTTGAAGGCAAAGATTTGAAAGGAGAATGTACTAAGAAAAGGAGAGCAGAGGACAATTGGTCATGCAATTCATCTCCTTTTGCCTCCTTGACTCCTTTAAACTTCAATTTCTACCTTCCTTTGGAATTTGAAGTGAGAGCAAGGATGTAAGGCTGATGGAAAAATAACTGCATACTGCCACCGAGAAGTTAAGGTACCGCTGGCAAACAAAAAAACAAGAGCAACAACAAAAATTATTTGAAAACAAGGTTTGTTCAGATCTCATGTTTGGTGGGGGTACAAGAACATTTTTAAAATAATGATTTTGCTAAGGGAAAGAGGAAGAATCATTTATTTACATTCTGTTTTCTTGCTTAAAGCCACCACAGATGTTAGTGTAACGTACCACTGTCCAGAGCTGCAGTGAAGCAGTTTTAAACAAGCAAATTCCAACTTTCTGTCACATCACTGTTACTTAATTTTAAAAGTATGCTTTTTATCAGTCATGTGGTGGCATATCCATCATAAAGTATCTCTTTAACTTTTTGAAGTGAGATGTATAATATTAGTTTTAAGGTATTATTTCTAAAACATAGTACTAAATCTCAAAAACGAACAGACACACACTACTATACATACGATAGGTAACCAATAAGGACCTACTGTATAGCGCAGGGAGGTCTACTCAATATTCTATGATAACCTATATGAGAAAAGAGTCTAAAAAAGAATGAATATATGTATTTGTATAACTGTATCTCTTTGCTGTACACCTGAAACTAACAAGACACTGTAAATCAACTATACTCCGAGAAAATTAAAATAAATAATAAAATAAAATCAGAAACCAATGACTGTGATGAGACATTAAAGAAAAAAAGTGTGCCAAGAGTTTTGTTTATTTTCCTATTTATTCCCTGTTTATTTCCACGTTTCTGATAATATATGACCTCAGTAGGCATGTTAGAAAGTTAATTTTTTTGGCAACAGTGTATGTTACTAAAATTTTCTTTCTTTTAGTTTAAGTTCTTAAAAAAGAAAAACTCCAGGAGAGCATAAAACTACACTAAAATTCATATTCTATGACCAAATGCCTAGAATTGTGACTATATATGCCATCTGTATTACCTGGTAGTCGACCTGTAAAATATGTTGCCAGTTTAATACCTCTACTTTCTTAAGTCCCATTTCCAATCTAAATTTGATACATAATCTTAGATTCATACCTCCCTGTACATAGTTACCCCTTTTTTCCCACTTATTGATAATCATCATGTATTAATAGCCTTTCATTTTGAAAATTCCAGGCACTTTACCTAATTTACAGTTATAGGACTCATTTCACTCTTACTAAACGCATATACAGCCTGTCCAGAAGTGGAATATAAGAAATGTTAAAGGACCACAAGAAATAGACATTTTATGAAAGGAAAAGAAAAAGGGCAAAATTCTGTTAAGAATTTTTACCTCACACAAAGTGCAAAAGGACCTTTACTAATCACATATGATCCAACCTACAGTTTTATAGCTTCTCCAAATATATGCCTAGAGCATCAAAAATGAATCTATACATCACTTGAAGACAGCAGGTCCCAAAATATTTTCTGCAGGCTTACTTTCCCCAAGATGTTAGTGGGGAAAAAAAAAGTTTCATAGTCAAATAATTTTGGGAAACATCGCCAATCAAAGCAGCCTCTTAAAGATTCATGGTGAATGTTAGCATATTAAAAACTTTGAAAGGTCCTGTGATTAAGAAACTTTTTCAAAAGTGTTAATCCAGCATTTTACAAAGTTTGTGGGTTTTTTGTTTTGTTTTGACTAAGGTAAGCTTTTTCTCTGCACACCTGTTAACATATTGTATTTAGCGCTATAAGGAAAATAACTTGGGAAATGTTGTCTGAAAATAAAGCAGAATAAAGTATCAGCAAAACAAACAAAAAAGAGACTGTGGAAAGTTTACCGATTTTCAAGAACTATTCTATTGACTCCTTGTTTAGATTCTGGAACAGAGCATGTCTGAATTGGAATACTGTCTCTACCACTTTAACTCTTTTAACATAGGCAATTCAGTTAATCGCCAAGTCTCAATATTCTCATCTGTAAAATGGAGTTAGTAATAGTATCAAACTCATAGTGGTAAATTATTGTGGTTACAAAAGGGCCTAGGCCAGTAGTGGGCACACGGTGGTGGTGATGGTGGTGATGATAATGACGATGATGATGACAGAGACAATAATCACATACAGAATTCCAAAAGAATTTTCCTCAATAGCTGATTATCTCAATTTCCCATCCCCCACCCCCATTAAATTATCTGGAAAAAAAATTTTTAACTCATCTTTTAATTTGTCAATCAGCAAATAAAGGTAGCATTTTGTATTCCTGTAATTATTGAAAGATATTTATAAATAAACTAGATATAGGAAGCGTCTTAGATTATTTGATCAAATTACACTCAGTAGTACTATTAATTTTAAAAATCATTTTGTGCTTAAAAACTTTACTTTGCATTTAGAAAAACTCTATTTTCTTTAATATCCCAAATGCCTCTGAATTAAAATCTCAGCACTGTGGGATCCAAAGCAGAAAACCCAGTCAAGCCCACCTAGACTTCTGACTTACAGAACTGTGGGCTAATAAATTGGTGCTTTAAACTGCTAAATTTGTGATAACTTGTTAAGCAGCAAGAGAAAAGTAATACAGTAAGTCACTATCATCATCCCTTTTTTAGAGAGAAAGAATGTGGCACAGGTTGGTTAGGTAAATTGCCTATGGTTTCAAGTTAGTGTCAGTCTGAATCCAGAAACCACTTTACTCTACTGGTAAAAATCATGGAGGGTCAGCTCTATGCTAAGCACTAATGCATCTTTAAATATATTGCTTCACTAAGTCATCCCAACAACATTTATGAATTAAATATTATTATTATTTCTATCTAACAGTTGAGGAAACCAAGGATCAAAACATGTAAGTAATTTGCTCAAGATTAAGGCAGCAATGAGGGATGGAGCCAGGAGCCATGACCTGAGCCCTGGTTTGATTCCAGGAGCAATTTTCATAACCATTATGCTGTAGCATCTATTTAGTCAGGGGTCTAACTTATCTCATTCATTTATATTTTCAATTTAAGTGGCTATAACTGTAACTGCCATTTTTTTAGTACAGTCTGCATTCTCTTTGGCCTTGATTTATCATTTTAGAGTACACTTTGCTTGAGTGTAGAGTTCCAAGTACATTTTAAAATTCTCTAAAATATTTGCATAACTCATAAAACTATTTTTCATTGCTCTCCATAAACACCAAGCTAATTCTTTCCTCCAGTCCTCTGTTCATGCTGTTGCCCCAGTCTGAAAGGACTTCTTACAAATTCTACTAGCTGAATTCCTGTCTGTCAGACCTCCCAAATTATTCCAGCACCACAGAACCACGATTTCTTAGAATTAGTACTTCTTATTTTTTTCTAGTTGTTTCATTGGTGCTAGCCTTATCTTTCCAAATAATTACAAACGGATCTTGCCATGAAGATAACTGCATTCCTTGGATATAGCTGAATGTTATGTTCTAAACCTTAAGTCTTTCCACTATGAACACTAAGGAAAATTCATTTTTAAAAGTACACATTTTATACCAAATTCAGAGTTCCCAGTATTTCCCTGCTTGATTCCCTGATGGATGCTGTTTCCAGAACCTATGCAGGACCATTACACAGGGGTGAGCCTTTGCCTTCAGGGTCTGACCCTGGTAAGAGAAATTTCTGGTGCCTCTAATTACTTCCCTCCAGTTTCCTGCTCAACCCATTGAGCGACTTAGTTTTCAGCTCCCTAAAATATTTTTTCAATAACTAATACATGCACATAATAAAAGCTCAAAGGTACAAGTGGTTGTACAGAGAAATAAAGGTTTCCTTCTTGATGACATTCCCTCCTTACACAGGGATGCTTCCCCAGGGCCAACAGATGGTAGCTAGTAGCTATTGCTGTGTATCCTTCAAAAGATATGTGTATATATACATACACACATACAAACACACACCTGTGCACATGTGTGTATATAGAGT